TGGCTATCAATCCACTCGAACCATACTCGAATCCAAAAATGCTGTAGCAAATAATGCGCAAGCTGAACCATGGTGTGGACATCTGCCTGAGAGCTCCCGCCCCGAATCAGGGAAGCCACTGCAGCTTCGTTGTCCACAAACCACAATACATCCAAGTCGGCCAGAGCGTGTCCATGGAACCAGGGAACCAGCAGTCCACACAAGCGCGGCTTCAGGGAGAGCACGAAATTCGTGAACAATGCGCTGCAACTCCATTGGTTGTTGAGAGCGGGGGTCATCCAGGCCCTTGCGCTTGGTGTTCAGGGATGAGTTTCCCTGGCAGGGGAGCCACCCCCAATCAGGATACCTCGTGGGTGACGGCGCTGAAGAAGTCCTCGAAAGTGGTCAGCCCGCACATCCTCAACCCGATCCAGGTGCACGATGTTAGGCATAGCTTGCTCTGCACAGCGCACAGCGTCCTCATCACTCTCAGCGCTGAGGGCGTAGAAATGAACACCCATGGCGAGGAGGGCTACGCAGAGACCCCCCACACCAGCCCAAATCGACGACCAACCACGTGCCCTGAAAGGGCTTCGCCCATGGGTACTGCGGCAGATCACTGCGCCCCCGCCAGCTCACAGGCTTGGCTGCTGTGAGGCGTGCTGCGACATCCATAGAGCCCATGACAGGAGCGGCGTCTCCAGCCAAAACCACACGCCTGCCCTGACCGGGATGTGGTTCCTCCGTGAGGGAAAGCCGCGAGGATTGCCACGGCTCCACTTCCCCCCGGGGCACCCAGGCCCTTAGGGGGAGCTGTCCCTATTCAGAGTGCTGCAGGCGAGTATGGCCTGCTGAGCATGGCTTCCCCGTAGAGAGCTTCACGTCGCACTTGTGGATGTTGGGGCACTTAGCTTGCTGGCATCCCCTGCCATCGTTCCATGGCTTGCAAAACCACTGGCCTCCCTTGACCTGGCTCACAGTAGGCCACCGGTCGGACTTGATCTGGCGCCTGGCCGGGGGAGCTTTCTCCTCAGAGGGCGCAAGCTCCGCAGCTTTGCGCTTGGCCGAGGCCGCCTCAGGCATAGAAGGCTGCAACGCTGGGGATCGGTGAGTTTGGCGGAGGGCTTCAGCCAAGGCGCTGCCCCCTGTGTATCCCCGTCGGACCAGGGATGCCATCTTGGACCTGGTGAGAGTGTCACACTTCTCCAACCAGAGCAAGCTACCATGGCCATACTCCATCATTGATTGCAAAGCGTGGTCCGCGTAGGCCAGTGCTTGGTCCAAGGGCATGAAGGTGCGTTCCTGCTTGTCGAAGTCCTGCTGCTTGAAGAGACCAGCCCAGCCCCAGGCATAGGCCAAGGTCCGCAGCGCCCAGTAGTGGTCGACCACGGTCTTGACAACCCGCCCTTCCTCCGTCTGAAACTCCAGCTGCACGCCAGAACCCAGTCTGACCGCTTCCTGGAGGCGAGGGGTGGACTGATGCAAGATAGACCGGATCTTACTGGCTGGAATGACAGTCATCGTGCGCTTGCGGAATTCACGATAGCACCTGCTGCGAAGTGAGTCGGAGGGCTCAAGCATGGGGTCCAATGTCAAGTTGTACTTGGCCAGGAAATCACGCGACATTTGTTGCATAGTGCTGTCTGGAAGAACTTCATCAGGGGCGTCCACATGCTTCTGCTCGGAGGCTGCCGTCTTGATGGCGGCAAGGCCCGCAGCCCGGGCCGCTTTCAAGCGAGACCGAGCAAGGCGGTTGTCTTTCTGTAGTGGTCAGCAAAACCTGGGTCAGGGAGTCTTCGATGTTCACATCATCAAACCAGTAAACGAAATCTTCCAAAGTCTCCCAACGATGTTTGGCAATGATCTCCTTGGACCACTCCGGAAGGATATTGGCCACAGAGAAGCACATCGCGAGGCCGCGGTCGTCGGCATAGACATCAATGTGGGAGGCATGAGTCATCGTGGGGCCTCTCAGAAAAGTGGAGGAGGGCACCTGAAGATCTTGGGCCAGGACCACGGGAGTGGAGGATGGCTGGAAGGCGCAGCTTCACAACCGCACCCCACACTACACCAGTGTGTACATGGCCTCGAATGCCTCAACCCCACCAGAGTGAACGTGTCACAAACAACCTCCTAATTACTAGTAAATGGACCAAAAAATAGGGGAGATCAAACACGGTAATCTAACCACGTGCGACGGGGGCCGTCCCCCTGCAGACGCGCCCGCCCCCCCCCGAAGACAGGCCCGCAGCGCTTTTTCATACCCACCGGGTGGACGGTTAGTGAAGCCACCCGCATGTGTCTGCCAGGGCCTTGTACAGAGCCCGTGGCATGCGAGCCAGACACCGCTGGCAAAGCGCGCTCTTGGGGAGGGTATTAAAACCCTCACCGACCTGCTTCGGGTCTTGCGCATAGGCCGCGCGGCAGAAGGGGAGTAGCCTACCATCCAACTCTCCTTGGACCAAATGTACCCGGGAGGCTTGCACGAACCATTTGCCTTCGTATCCCAAGTCCGCTGGGGCGTCAATGCCTTCCAAGTCGGACGCGGCTGCAGAGATATCTGAAGCTGACCCGGACGTAGTCGATGAAGAAACTGACAAAACCCCGTCTGCTTGGTTGGCGGGCGACAAATTGTCAGCCTCAGGCTCCTCCTTCACCACTTCAGTAACCGGGAGGACCGGTTGGGCCACCTCCTCCGGGGTCAAAGACACCTCAGGGAGTTCGACCGACTCCATCCCTGGTGGGAAGCGCTTCGCCACCGCGAGCTCCTGCCAGGACCAGGAATCTCTGGGCAGTAGCCCATCGTGCGTGAGGGCCAACTCAGGCTGCTTAAGCTGCCACAGCTGGAGGAAGCGCTTGACAAGGGCCTCCTTGAGCAGGGCGCTATGGACCACCTTCTGTCCGGCGTAATGCACGCCCATCGACCACGTGGCTCTACTTTTGCGCTGGGGAGTGGGGCCACCCGCACTCGGCACCTCCACCCAGCTTCCAAGAGATTGTTGGTCTTGGGGATCCAAACGACAGATCTGGCCCAGCGTGGGCAGGAAACGTCTCAACCGGTTGAACCCGGCCACCTGTGCTTGGGCTGGGTCAACACCAATATCCATCAACGTGCCCCTCAGCAACTCGAGGAAACGGCCTCTCGACATTTTCTTCGTCGCGATCCAGGGGGTGGTCTCAGTAACCTGCCACAACTCATCGGCCTGCAAGGCCACTGCAGGCCATAGAAAACCAGCATCCGGCAAGGCCTCATGGAGGACGAAGTCTTTCACGATCTTCAAGAGGCTAGCTCCGCGGAAAACCAAGTCGGGCATAGCCCACTCATAGGGAGGTCGGGTACCCTGACGCCGAGCCTTCCCCTGGGAGCACTTGAAGATGAGGAAAGTGTCCGCCTCGCCCACAAAGCTGGAGCGTTGAAAATGTTCAAACCTGACGCATGACGTAGCTGCCCACAAGAACATGGCCAGGAGCAGCAGGTGCGTGCCTGACGCCTGACGGAGGCGCAGGAGCAGGTTCATCATCTCCCAAGGCTGCAATTCTTGCTTCTGCTGAACAGCATGGTTCACAGGTAGCAACTTGTACGGTTGCAACAGCCAATGATCCAGCTCAAAGGGGAGGGCAAAGTGCTGGCGGAACCACTTCAGGGCATGGAACATGCTCGTAGCTGCTGTAGGGCCCCCGGCCGCAACTGCCTTGAAGAAAGCACTCAACTGGAGGGGTGTAGGGGCACGAACATGGAACTGGTTGTCCAGTGCATACGTCCTCCACCGTCTGAGGGCGCTCACCAGAGCAGCCGCTCGTTGAGGCGACACACGGCTCGCCGCTGGCATGACTGTCTCCTTGAGGAGCTGGCGACGAACTGGATCGCGCATCATGGGTCGATCGACCCCCAATTCCTCCAAATCGAGGAAATCGTCCATCAATAACTCAAACATTGCCTCCAGCTTGGCGTTCTTCTGCAAGACCTCCTTCGCGAACGGGTCTTGGGAGGCATCTTGAATCATAGTGGGGGCAGCCGATCCAGGGCCTGTGGAGGTCAAGTGGCGGAGCCGGACGCCGGCAGGTGGCACTGTAGAATCCTGTCCTGATTGGACCGGGTGGATCGAGATGCACGACCTCCGATGATCCTCCACACGCCGTTGGACTTTGGCGCGGGTGCTGTGGGCCCTGCCGGAAGCCACCGTCCAGAATGCGGCCACCGCGAACTCCTGGTCCGGAGGCAGAGATCCAATCTCGCGCTCCACTTCCTGCAGGAGTTCCTGGCTGCTCCCCCAAATACCTATAACATCAGTGCACGTCTGGGCGCCGACCAGGACCACCAGTTCTCGTAGGCCATCAGGCTTGTCCTGAAGCAGGTCCTGAAGCTCCTGCTCCATGGGGTCGCCCGGCCTGAGCGCCTCCGAGGGCATGGATGATGTACTCTCGGCCGGCCTGCTCTGAGATGCCAAGGTGCTCCTCGAGCGTGGCAACGGGGATCGTGTCCGAGGCCTCGCGGAAGGGGGGAGCTCCCGCCCTTGCCCCGAAGCCTGAGAGGTGGATGGTGTCGAACGTGTCCGGGCTGTGGGTCTCCTCGACGGCATTGTGACCAGCAGTACACGTGATGTCGAGCTGGCTGCAGGCTCGCCCACTCTGTGCGCAGTGTCACACTGCTGACAGAGTGCGCTGGAGTCGAGCGGAGCGCTCAACAAGCAGCCCTCACACCACAATGTAGTCCGAGGCCCCCAAGCAGCGAGTCCAATCGACTCTCCGCGGGAAGGTCCAGTGGGTCCCATCGGCGGCACGGCCAAAAGAGAAAACCCCCGGACCTTCACTTGAGCCAAAATGGCATTCAAGTGAAGGTCCTAACACTTGCATGTTTCAGATCCCAAGGTGTCCCTTCCCAACCAACCATTCACCTTGGTGGATAAGAAAACCCGCAGAGCTTCCCTCGCTTCTGAGGCGTTTTAGATGATTTTCTTCATCATCCCATTCATCAAGTATGTGTCATTCACTCCCACTCCCGGCACCAGAAAGCCCAGCAATCATCCACGTGCAACTACATGGAACTCATGATTCAACAAACTGGAAGACCCACCCGGCACCAAGGAGCTGTAGCGCAGTTGCTCATGCACCATGACCGAGGTGAACTCCTACCCAAAAAACAAGGAACACGGGCGACGGGCGACTTCGCCAAGTCATCGGCTTCGTGTCTTTTCCAAGCCGGCCCCGTCTCCGTGCGAACTGATCCTCCGCGGAACACATCGTCTGTCGACGACCCTCGCCGAACACATCGCCGCTTCGCCGCGCCTCGGGGCGGTTCGCCGCGTTCGGCTTGATGCAGCGCACGTAGTGCGTCTCCGAGGCGAAGATCTTCGTCATCAGCTCCCTGCGGCGGATCTTTCGACCGGGTGAGACACTCACGCCGTGCCCGGCCGTCTTCGGTGGGTGCCGAACGAAGAACCGGGAGCGTGGCGTGGCGTGTGAGCGCGGGCGGTGTCACCTGGAATGGTGGAAAAGGATGGCTTGAAGTGTCAAGGTGCCGACTTCCCTTTTAATGATTCGGCACGAGTTGGCTTGAGAAATGTCCCTTGGCCTTGGGGAAAAACAAGAAACGACACCCTTCTTGTTTCAGGCCCTGGTCCGATGCAGCAGAATCGCTGACATCAGACAGCAGAATCGCTGGCGCAGCCTGAGGGTTGGAATCCCAGGCATCGGATCTTCAAAAAGCATGCAACCCCCCAAAGCGCCTTGAAACACATTCTGTACAGAATGTTAAGAACTTAATACATTAATCGATGAACGTATCTGTTAAATCCTCAAGCACACAGCACACACCCCCTGTTCGTTCCCTCTTCACCACCCTCCTTCCTGCCTCAAGGAGCTCCGAAAGCGATACGTCGCGGGGCGCCGCGCCGAGCTGCGGAGAACCGGCCGCTTGGGCGACGCGTCCGCGGCGTTCGTGGCCTCCAAAGCATTGGGAACACGATGGTTCACTCCAAAAGCAAGGGGAGCTTGTACTCACTCAGCAAGGGGAACACTAACAGTGAGCAACTGTGGCCGACTTGCGACGACTTGTGGAGCATTTTGGGGGGGGAGGGAGTCTAAAGGGGAGCCTACAAGATCTACAAAAAGAGTCCTGAGCCGCCGCAAGGGGAGGGTTCCAATCCTGTTTTGTGACCTCCACATACGCACACGAAGGACATGAAGGACTTGAAGCACACGCAACGCAGCCTGTGTCTCGAGACCACGACCTAGTTCTTGCAACAAGGGCAGCTCGGAGCTCTGCAAGAAATCTGGCCGAGATCGCAGAGGTGGTGGGTGGTGGGAAGGTGGAAACATTCTCTGTGGTTGGTCAGTGGAGGTTGGTTGGCTTGCTAGACTGCAGATGCGCGGCGACATAGATCAGACAATTGAATCCCTAGACCGCCGCAAACATCAAAAAACAAAAACGACTAGTCTCCGCTCTCTGTTGACTTTATATCATTATCATTACAGTATATCATTATATAAATATACGTCTCTGACACTAATATCCGCACTGGAAGTCCCTGGATGACTCAAGACATCTTGTTTCCCACCTGCCACTTGATCCAAGGGTAGCCGATCTGCATTCTTCTCCAGAAAGCCCTCGCAGGAGTAGGTCCTGGGTATCCCATCGGGGCTCGGGGCAAAAGGGGTGTCACACATCACTCGATCCTGTCCCAGGTTCCAAGATCTTCCCAAACGTCGAGTGCACCAGTTCTGTTGCGTGTTCTGTCTTTTCCTGGATCCGTTCTTGATGTTATCTGATACGGATGTTCTTGCTTCAAGGCTTCAACGGACTTCAAGCATGTCAAGCAAGATTGTGGCAGGTTTGTTTGGATTCATCGTGATTCATCGTGATTCATCTCAGGTTTTTACTCGCTTGGACTGGCTTCACTACGTGGCTTCGCAGGGTCAGTGAACAGGCTTGCCCTGTCAGGCGACCACGTTCGCAGGGTCAACGGCCCGGACTTGGTCCGGACAAAGTCTGGAAAGGTCTCCGCGAGTCAAACAAAAAAAAGAGATGACGAAGAAGGCAAGCAAAAGCGCTGTGTGTTTGTGTGTTTTTTGTTTGAAGTAGAAACGTGTCAGATGTTTTGTCCCCAACAGTCTTCCTTCAACAGACTCTTCTCGAAATCTTGGGGACTTCCTGGCTAAACGGGGTGTCTTTTTCCGTCAAGAATCAGTGAGGCGGAACGAGTGGCGAATCCAAGATGGATATATAGAGATTGGATGTTGAATGTGCTGTGTTTATCCGTGTTGAAGGTTGTTTCTGGGGTCTTTTCAATCAAATAGGTTTGATTTCACTTCTCCAGAATGTTGAGACCAAGGTTATTGAAGGCACTGTTTCATTCACTAGACTAGTAGGTTGGGATCCTTGTAAAGCTTTCATCACCAAGCATCACTGTCGCAGCATAGTGCTGGATTCCAAAGCTTGCCTTTGTGATCTGCGAATGTGCAGCTTTTCATGGTGATTCCATGTGATTCATCATGCATGGTTGCCAAGTTGACTTAACTGGTTGATACACACTCAGCTAGACCTTGATTCAAGAGTAGCTCACAAGATCTTGCAATTGGTTTCTTCAACATGCTTGCTTTTTCTTCATCTTTCTTCATCTTTCTTCCCTATCGGTGGATCAGGATGGACAACCACAGGCTCCGAGAAAAAGGGGCATCTTAACGTGTGTGTCACCATGCAAGGACTTCAACAGAAACATGTCTGGGAACGCCGGGTCTCATACAGGAGCCACATCAGCAGAACTGACTCCCCATCAGCCACCTCCGACCGAAGCCCGCGCGATCCGAGGCACACTGCCCTGGAACTTCGGGGCGATCAGGCGCGACGTGGCGCCATGGCCTTTGAGCACCTCCGGGGGCCATGGCCGCGATGCGAACACCATGTCCGTGCGGAACAGGGAACGTGTGATGTGGGACGGTTTTGACTGGAAATCTGGGCCTGACCGACAGACCCCCCAAAAAAAACCGAAAGAATTCCACCTCCCTTCCAAAGGTGTCCCTCCGGCCAGCCCCGCCCTTCTCCTGTTCGAAGTTCGGCCGTTCGCTTCGCGATCTCCGCGCCTTCCCCGTTTGTCCGCGGAGTCGCAGTTCGACCGAACGAAAGCGAAAAGCGTGTGTCGAGTCGCTTTGGCCCCGGGGCCTTGTTGGCAAAGGTGGAATCCGTCGCCTTGGGCATGGTCAGCTCCTGGCGCCAGCACCGCCGGGACCCCCCCGCAACAGCGGTGGAAATCGGGCTTCGTGCCGGCAGACATCGTTTTAGACTCTCTGAGAAGGGTTTGACTGGGTAAAGACGTCAAACCCTTATCGTGTAAACCATGGCAACATGTGCCAAATTTCAGCCATTTCTTGGCACGAGTCCAAAAAGGGGAAGGGGGAGGAATCCATCAAATCCATCTCCTCACCCACCCGTGCGCTGCGTTTTAGCTGCGTGAACTCGAGCGTTCACTCCTCATCGAGCATGTCCAGCACCCCCCCTTTGCCATCCAGGAGTGCTACGACATCCGAGTTGTCTTCATACCTCAACTGCTTGGACTGAAAAAGACATCTGATTCGTATCTGGAAACCGAATCTTAACCGGAATTCAGTTCTGGAACTCCCCAGTCCCAGCCACCTTCGGAGCCGGATCTCAAGCAAGCCATATTGGAACAAGCATTTGTTCCTGGTTGTTTGGGGTTTCCAGTACTAATTATCTTATTAGGAGTTGCTATCAAAGGCTTGGACAATTCAGGGTTATGGGGTGGCCCATGATATCCCATGATCCCCTCGCCAAGAGGGTCTAGCAACTGCTTTGGAGCTCCTTGTGTGGCGGTTGATCTAACCGTCCAATCTTTCATGTCCAGCCACCATCACTAGGATAACTAGAAAAAAGCTTCCCAAGACTATATAGACCCCAAATAAATAGATAGCAAAGTAAATCCCCACCAAGAATGTTTGGAAACCGTTTCAGTTTCTATCTATATGAGGACCACTATATTTCATGCTTGAGCTCTGGTGTTGTGGTAAAGCCGTACTTTGCCAGGGGCAACCCTTCGTGCCATCAAACCTTCATTCGTGACCCATATTCCAACCACACTTCTGAAAAATACAACTTCTTGGCAGGATATTTCCGTGTCTGTCTCCACTGTGGAAGAAAAACTCTTGCGCCACATGAACAACAAAACCGCTGTAGATTAGATACTTGGCTGGTCCCATCCACAGCGATGACGGTCCCATCCACAGTCGTGCGAACCCCCCGGGGATGAAGGGGCCACGTCAATTGGTCCCCACACATGCAGATCACCTGTAGGGGTTCCTGTAGGGGGTTCCTTCACCAAATCTATTGCAAGATACATTTGCACCAAGTAGTCATGATCATCATCTGCCTTTCTGTTCAAGTCGAAGCAGCAACCAGCATCCTTTTGCAACGCAGCACGCGCGCAACTTCCACATGGTGATATCGATCGGCAACATGCAAAGCAGTGCTGCCATCTTGAGCTACAGCATCCTTGTCAGCTCCAAAGTCTAGCAACAACCCTGCCACGTCCACGTCGCCATGTTGAGCTGCAACATGCAAAGCAGTGCTTCCATCTCGAGTTCTAGCATCCTTGTCAGTGCCAAAGTGCAGCAGCAATCGCACCACTTCTGTGTGGCAATTAAGAGCTGCAATATGCAAAGCAGTGAGGCCATCTCGAGTTGCAGCATCCTTGTCGGCGCTAGAGCCTAGCAGCAATCGCATGACTTCCAAGTGTCCAAACCAAGCTGCAGCATGCAAGGCAGTGATGCCGTCTTCCGCCGCAGCATCCTTTGCAGCGTCAGAGTCGAGCAACAAACGTACCACTTCCAGGTGGCCTTTTTCAGCTGCAACGCGCAAAGCTGTTCTGCCATCGAATGTCCTTGCAGCATCCTTTTGGATACCAGCCTCCAACAAAATGCGCACAACATGCACGTGGCCACTTTTGGATGCAACAAACAAAGCGGCGCTGTTCCGTGTGTTGGGGTCATGTGGGATTTCAAGCATACGCTCAACTTTTGCAACCTCATTCGCTGCGCATGCTTTGATGAAGGATCGGTCTGCAACTTCGTCAGGAAGTCGAAAGTCCAAGACCACCAAGCACAGAGTCAGTTCTGTCTTCAAGGGAGAGTCATCTTGCAACTCACCACTTTCCCCTAGCAGTCGCTGCCGAAATCTGGAGATGCCAATCTTGGCTGCAAGGTACTCTTTCAGCGCTCTCACGGGGGTCTTACTGTCCAGGATCAAAAACAGCTCCTCCTCGTGAAGCTCAGCAACAGGTGCCCCAGAGATGGCTGAAATCAGCATCAGTCCAAGTTGCCTCCAAGCACCTAACACGCCATACTCATGG